AAATACTTGCCCACTCACAATGATCGCTCAATCTTTGGCCTCAAGAGACACTGGCATGTACTCCATGTCCCTGCTCAGTCCATCTCCAGGTCACGAAAGGAGCCATGGAAACCCAGAGCCAACTCAGAACTAGTAAGTTCTGGGCCAGCCAGAGCTGTGAGTTCAGCTTGAGCCTCTTTAAGAGCCCCAGAACAGTGATTCCAACACAGAAGCAGCTTTTTATTATCTTATCTGTTTAAGAATTAACATAAGTAGGCTGTGACGGTGCCTCAGTGGTGGAGTGCTTGTCTAGTTTCCTGAGGCCCTGGATTCAACCCCAGCACTACAAAAACAAATGTGCTGGCACAGGTCTATAATCTTGGAAGGGTGAAGTAGCAGTCCCTTAAGTTTGAGGGTAGCCTGGGCTACATATCAAGGACAGTGGCTACATAGCAAGACTGTCTCAAAATATCAGAACAAATCTGGACATGGCACACCCCTTTAATCTTGGCACTTGGATGGAAAGGCAGGTGGATCTCTGAGTTCCAGGCCAGCCAGGAACCTGTCTAAAAAACAAAACAAAACAAAACAACCCTCCCCCCCCCTTATTATCACAAAATAAATGACAATGAACACAATCAAGGTGCAGTGTTCATTTGGGGAATTAGAAAATATTAAGTAGGTTAAGAGGGAAATTTCAGTACCCACAGCACATAAAAACTGCCTTTGCACCCTAGGATCAAGGGAAGAAAATGTACCAATTGTAAAATACTGCCAGCATCTAGCTACATGCAGTGCGCCATCTCTGTGCGCAGACCTACTAAAAGGGTTATGAGAAAGTACAGGTGATGCCTGTGATACCTTGTCTATCAAAAATAAGCCTGAAAGTAGTTTAGTAGAAGACCCATGAAAGTAAGTTTCACAAGGGCCACAAGCAGGACGACATATACCTGATCTTCATTGGGAATCGTGGTGTTCTTAATTTCTGGGCTTTTCATCAGCTTCTTGCCTACTTCATCTAAATGTTCCCAAGACTCAACGGTGCACTGCTGGTTGACTTTGACTGCAGAAGCCTTGAACTCTCCTACCAGGGCAGTGGAAGGGAGCTTCTCAGCAGACTCAGCCAGCAGCTCTGCCATAGAGGTACCTTCCTCAGGCAGGGCAACTGAGCACCTGACCTTCATTCCCCCTTGCGCCTCAGCCGGGCGGCCGATGTCTTCCAGGACCACTCTCAGCACGAAGAGGGATACTGGGATAGGGGAGCTAAGGAGGGCACCATGCATGAGGGGTCCTGGCAGGTGCCAGGGGCCAGAGGGAGGATCTGGCTGGAGAACATGGTTGATGTAGGTTTCTGTGACAGAGGCTGACAGGGCAGGGCACCATTCTGCGTATTCCTTGGAAAGGCAGTCACAGAAGATATTAAGACAGCTCGGGAACAATATGGCCTGTTGGGAAGGAGCAGCACTCGGGTGAGGGCTGGAAAAACGCTCAGCATGAACCGGTGCCAAAAACAGAACTTGAGAGTCCTCTTCTTTAGAGACTTCCAATTCCCCTGAACATGTTTTTAAGGGTAAAACATGTTAGAGACTGTTTGTCACCTTACCTGTCTGAAGGACAGCAGCCAGAGGAATGAGGTGGCCCTCTGCCTCAGCAGGTCCCTAGGTGGAGCGGCTGCCTTCCAGATCTCAGCTTCTTGTAGACAATGACTCTGAAAACATTTACCACCTCTTTCTGAGATGAACTTTGTCTGACCAGCTATTGTCCCATCCAGACATACATGGCTTCCTCCTTTGTGACTCTGCTTTCCCTAGACCATAGTCCAGTCATTTTAGACCTAAACCAGACCAGGCAAAGCTCCTCTGTATCTTCTAGACAACGGAAAGCTTGTTTTCTCTCTTTTAAGGCAGGGTCTTCTGTAGCCCTGGCTTGCATAGAATTCAACTAGAAAAGGATAACCTTGGACTTCTGACCCTTCTGCCATCACCTCCCCAGTACTGGAGTTTCCAGTATCTGCCACCATGTGTGGTTTGTGGTACTGGGAATCAAATTCAAGGATTCATGCAGGCTAAGCAAGCATATCACCACCTGCCTGTACTTTAAAGACTTACCAATCAAACGTTGTGAAAAACAGAAACTACCAAAAAATCAAACCGAATCAGAGAGGCCTTTCAAGTTTTACTTTTATTTTGTTTTTGTTTGGTTTGGTTGTTTTTTCAAGACAGGGTTTCACTTTCTAGCTCTGGCTCTCCTGGAACTCACTATGTAGACCAGAGATCCTCTTGCCTCTGCCTCCGAGTGCTAGATTATGGGCGTGAGCCATACATTAAACCTGTTTTGTTTAAAGACGGTCTCAGACACGTGGGGAAAAGGCATTTGCTGAACAAGCCTAACAAGCTGAGTTCAGTCACCAGAACCCAGGTACTAGATACAGAGTTTGAAAAATTCGTGTATATTTCCAAAACCAAATAAATTAAAAAATTATGTGTATGGGTATTTTCCTGCACGTATATATGTGTACCGCATGCATGCAGTGCCCACCAAAACCAGAGGGCATCAGATTCCCTGGAATGGAGTTACAGATGGCTGCGAGCCATCAGGTAGGTGCTAGGAATCTAACCCAGGTCCTCTGAGTTACATTACTGAGCCATCTCTCCAGCCCCCATAAATAGATTTTAGGAAGAGGTCTAGAAGAATTTGAAGACAGAGCAGCTATATTAATATAGCCTAGAAGGATAGTAGACACTATTTGTTGACACGGGCTTACCTTACCTTCTGTGTCAAAACTGGCCGTGGATTCCTGATCATTCTGCCTCCCTATCCCAAATGCTAGGATTATAGGTGTAAGCCACCATCCGTAGCTGAAGAGTAGACTAAAGAAAAAGACTAGTGTAGTGAAAGACTAGTGTAGTGATGTCACGGGACTAGGAAAGGGATTGGCATATTATAAAGTAAGTATATGGTTTTAAAAACATGTTTTTTAAATCTTTGTAATTTGTGGTGTGAGGTGTGCTAGGCTGACTGATGCTGGTTGCCAGGGCAACCAACCACACAAGGGAGACAGCTCTCAGTTCTACTGCCACCCTTGCAAGGGAGTACGAGAGGCCAACTTTGATAAAACAGTGGTCAATGATCTTAACCAATCATGCTTAAGTTATGAATTCCATAATCCCCCTGAAGGTCTGAGTTTGTGGGACACAGGTCAACACAGCCACGATGAGACAGGATAACCCTTCTGGGAAAAATAAACAAAAGTTGGAAATGGAGAAAAGCTCAGGACAAGGTATCCAGACTGGTCAGAGCAAGAAGTTACTGAAGTCCTTGCAAACTTCAATTACTTTTGTTTTGGTTAGGTTCTCTGAAGCAAGGTTTCTAGTTTCTCTGTTGCCCTGGTGATCCTGGAACTCATTCAGTATACCAGGCTGGCCTTGAACTCAAGAGATCCACCTGTTTCTGCCTTCTGAGCACTGATTAACGGCGTGCACCACCACCATCTGGCTGAGCCCTTGGATCTTTTTTGTTGTTTTGTGTTGAGACAGAGTGTCTCTGTGTAGCCTTGGCTGTCCTGAGCTCACTTTGTAGACCAGGCTGGCCTCAAACTCACAGAGATCCACCTTTAGTCCTGAGTGTTGGGACTAAAGGCATGTACCACCATGCCTGGCAGAGCCCTTGGATCTTAATGACCATTTTCTGTGTCTGTAGTTTGGCTCCACTGAAAGTCAGGGCAGAAAGATAGCTGCCATGCATGCTGTTTGTTCAAGCAGTTCACTTACTCTTCCATCATCACCCAGGACTTTCCTGCCGTCTTTCATGGCTTAAACTCTGCTTCTTCCTGGAGCACACGCTAAGATCCATCCTACACACTGGAGGCTGCTGAGGGGTAAGAGTGCTTGTGGCTTTTCCAGAGGACCTGTGTTCAGTTCCTAGCACCCACATCCAGTTGTTCACAACTGCCAACAAATGCAGCTCCAGAGGATCCAGTTCTTCCCACACAGGGCATACACTTGTAAACACATTAAAAAAAAAAAAAAAAATGTTTTTTTTAATTAAAAAGCTTTATTCTCAGTGTTTGGTGTTTTTTGTTTTTTTTTTTTGTTTGTTTGTTTGTTTGTTTTTTCTTGGTTTTGTTTTTGTTTTTCTTGGTTTTTTTGTTTTGTTTTGTTTTTTTCCAAGACAGGGTTTTCTGTGTAGCCTTGGCTGTCCTAGATTCATTTTGTAGACCAGGCTGCCTTCAAATCTAGATATCTACCTGCTTCTCCCTCCCCAAGTGCTGGGATTAAAGGTGTGTACCACCACACCCAGCTTGGTTGTTTTGTTTTTTGGTTTTTTCTTTTTTGTTTTTTTGAGACAGGGTTTCTCTGTGTAGCCCTGGCTGTCCTAGACTCACTCTGTAGACCAGGCTGGCCTAGAACTGAGATTCCCCTGAGTGCTGAGACTACAGGCATGCACCACCACACCTAGCTGTTTGTTTAGTTGTTGTTGTTTTTTAAGGTAGAGTTTCACTAGCATGTCTGATGGCCTCATGAGGAGCATGCGCCATGTGGCCATCAGAATGAAGCATCTTGAGGTGACACTGCTTTTTTGTGTACTGCAGAAAAACAAGAAAAGAGAAGTCTGTCTTGCCTCTGCCTCCCAAGTGCTGGGATTAGAAGCAGCCCATGCTACCATGCTCAGCTCATCAAGTGTCTTTTAACTCTAACTCTTAAAGTTCTTCCAAAACACAACAGATGGCTGGCTGGCAAACTGAGTGACAAGTCATATTGCGATCAGCAACTTTTAATTTTACATGTTTAATGAGAAATACAAATCAAGGGCGTTTGTCAGCATGAGAGTAATGCACCCCAACTCTACCTCAACTGCAGGAATGAGGAAGAGGCTCAACCCTGTGTCCTGGGATCAACCACTAGAAGAAAATGAGGGGAACCCAGGGCCTTCTAGAGAAGGTGTGACCCCTCCATGTATTATGTTATAAAGCTCCCTGCCTCATGCTGGGACACACCTCCTGCACGAAGACAAAGACACAGTCCAAATAGAGCAGTCCAGCTGCCTGAGTATCATTTATTCCTCGTTTGCTAAGAAATGGTTCCCAGAAGAGGATTACATTTCAATACCAGCTGTGCACACTGATGAACCTGGGGAAGTGAAGGACTGCAAAGAATCCATCCAACATTGTTGCCTGAAATTCCTGGGCCTTCAATGTAGGGAAGATCGCTTTCAGCAGAACCCAAGTAGCTTCTGTGCCTTCCAACTCCCATCCATCTCTGGCATGAGACATTTGTCTTTTCAGTCATCCTCGTCGTCATCCTCAATTTGAAACCGTTTCTTTTTGTGGCTAACTGGCGTTCCCAGTGCTGATGCTATGAGAATAACAGGGGAGAGTGAGAAATAGGAAACAGGACAAGGCAAATGGCAGAGCGTTCTCAGAGTGCAGACAGAGCAGAAGAAAAAGCCGGCCCTAATCAGAGTCGCACCTTGCCTCCTCTCCTCATCCTCTTCATCGCTGTCCAGCAGTTGCCGCTTCCTGGGGACTTTTTTCTGTTCTTTCTCCGCAGTGTCCTCCTCCTCTGAAGTAACTGTAAGACACAAAATTAGAGAGCTGGGTCTGTGTCATCTCAAACACCTCACCGGCCATCACACCCACACGAGCAGCACAAAGTCATCCACCAAGAGGTGAGCGGTGACACCTAACCTTCTGGCGACACCAGGCTTGCTTTCTTCTTACAGGCTGAGGAGAGGACTCTCAGGGCTTTGGCTCTGTGCTCCTCAGTGGGACTCTGCTCTCCAGGGACTCCTGAAGGCAACTCTGGCTCCTCTTCTTTTTCCTCCTCCTTTTCCCATTGTTTCAAAGAGGCTGCCAGTCTCCGAAGCTGGGTGGAGCTCAGTTTGGCTGGAATTCGCCAGAAGGTTTCCTACAGGGGCACAGCAGGTGAAATTGCTGCATGGGGAAGCCTAGCCTCTCTGATCAATAGATTTTATTCTATTATTCATTGAATAAATATGACCCTTTATCAGGAAGGATCTATGAGTTGTGAACTTGACTATTATTCATAACATACACCCAATGTCTAGCTCAGTGCTACATCAATTAGCACTCACATAATAAGTACAGTTGATAACAAGAAATACAAGAAAAAAAATCCAGGTCACGAAAAAGTGAATGGGTATGATCCGTGCCCAGTATCAAATGGAGAAAAAGGAACATGCTATCACGCTACTGGGCTGGGCACCAAATTCTTTCAGTTCATGAGTTAGGCAACAGGACTGCTTCTGAGGAAGTGATGTTGGGCTGACCCTTCAGGGCTGGTGGAGGTTCAACAGAAGAAGGCGTGTGAGGACACACACATGTCTGTGTGTATGTATCTTCTTGTATGTGTGGTTGGAGCATACCCATAGAACTGGGAAGATCAACGGGCTCTGCATGAACAAGCCAACCATTTGCAGGGTGGAAAGTAGTCCAGGACAACTGTGGCATGAGACAGGTGTGAGGGTGGAATGGCACGCAAAGACAGGCACGCCACCTGGAGGCTCTGAGCAGGCAGAACCACCAAGCATTACACAGAAGGGACTGAATGGAACTGAGGGCAGTGTGGAACACAGACTTAGGGAATGGGAGGCTGGAGAGGATGGGGGGAGATGAGCAAGAGACCTGATGCAGGAACCTTGTGGAGCAAAGACAAGGCAGCAGGGATGATCAGGGCGGCAACAAGCCGTGCTCTGAATAGGAACAGACATCCCGGCTGACACCACCCCTCTGACACTCGCCTGCCCCGAAGCGGGGGACTGCACCCCTAGCTTGCGTAGCAGATGCTGAAACTTTTCGTTCTCCATTGCGTCCTCATTTTCTTCTGTCAGAGGCACCAGAGGGATAGCCTGGGAGCAGCCTGGAACAGAGCCAGCAGTACATGGTAAAAATGTGAAGGAAGGGTGGACCTGGGTCACGTCAGGCCCAAGCAGTCCCTGTGTGCCACTGCGTTTACCGTCCACTTCCCGGTCATCTGCTGCGCGAATCAGGCAGTTCTGGAGCCACAGGAGGGGAACAGAGAGGCCTGAGGAAAGAGGGGAAACTTGTACGTGGAGGTGCCCATCCCTTCCGAACCCTCCTCCTCTGACATGTCTCCCACCTTCCTGACGCAGGCTTTGACCAAGGTTTTCAGCAGAGAGAAATGAGATGCCCTCAGCTTGTTCTGCTTGCAAGCCTTCCTCTCGCTCGTCATCTTCTTCACTCTCTTCCTCTGGCAAATGTTCTTCTTCCTCTTCTGGATCTTCCTGCCAAGAATCTTTCAGGGACTTGTCTCCATTCAGCTGAAATTCATTGGATACAGAGAAATAAAGAACAGGCCTCAGGGACCTTAGTGGGCTTCTGGCTCTGTACCCACTGAGGGAGCTGCTCTGAAAGCCTTGTGGCAGGGGTCCTAGAGTGCCTTGTGGAGCAAGGCCCAGGCTGGAAGAACCAGGATAAAATGGTTACCACACAAGAGGGTGCCAGCTTCTTTCTCCGTTTCTTGTACAGTTGCCGTCGCTCAGACACGAACCCCATGGCCAGCAGTTTATCCACTATTCGAGCCCGCGACCGTTTGGCTGTGATATTCTTCATGATATTACCAAGAACATCTGCAGAGGGGGAGAGAGATGGAGAGAGGAGGGGAGAGAGAGAGAGTTTGGATATTCTAGAGCAACTGGAAAGGAGTAATGGAAATCAGAGGCTAGCTCGGTTCAGCCCAGGTGACACAGGGTAGCAGGCAAACAGGGGTAAGACAGTTTCCTTAGGAATGAGAGGCAGCGGAGCGGTTCCTCAGGCCTCACTCACCATCAGAGTCCTGGAACTCCTCAAAGAGCCGCTGCAACTCCAGCTCCTGATCCTCCGTCCACAAGACAATCTGGGTCCCTTTCCTATTCAGGTAGGGGTCAGTCAAGGGGAGGCCTCGGCAAAACAGGTTTCCTTATCCCAGTTCTGGAGGGCCAGAGCAAGTGCCTTTACCTCTTGAAGTCCTTGACACTGTCGGCCAGGCCCATCCGTACCAGGTGGTGGATGACCTGCTTGCGTGTTCGAGGAGCACTTTTCAGGTGTGCCAAGATGGTTTCCACTACATCCTGACCTGTGGTAGAATGGGGCAGTGAGGAGTCTGTGGGCCCAGACTGTCCTCCTCACAGTCTCATGAGATCTCAAAGCCTCTTACCTTCCACATCCTTATGGGTGAGGTACAGTTCTTGGAGCTGGGCCTCTTCCTCAGGGCTCCACACAGAGGCTCTGTGGCTGGAAGACCTGAACAGTGAAAGAGGAAAAGGAGCAGAGAGGTCATGGTTTAAAGACCAGCCCAAAGCTTTCTCTGGTTATTTCAGAGCGAAGGATGAAGCAGGTAACTCAGGTGGGCAAGAAGCAGAATCCTAAAATATGTTTCCTTCCTTTCTTCTCCAACTTAAGAACCCAACAATCCAAATCAGGAGATTTTTTTTTTTTTTTAATCTTGGCCTTACAGAACTTGACACTAAGGGCAAAATTGGAGGAAAAAAAAAAAAGCGTTGTGAAAGAGAGGGGGCAAGAGACACAGGACACGAGGATAGGGATTAAGTGAAGCCTATCTTTTTCAGACCAGGTCTCATGTAACCCAGGGTGGCCTTGGACCTTTAACTCTGCTCTTACTGCCCATCCCCTAGGTGTGGGACCACAGGCTAGGGCACCATGCCCAACTTGACTCCCACATTTTGAGAAAGCACAAAGGAGCTCTTTGCAGACCACCCACTGTCATCAGCAGCCACCTCTATGAAGGCTGGTGACAGAGAAGAAAACTTAAGGCGGCAGAAGACAGGGTAACCCCAGGAGGACCATCTCACCTCAGGGACCCACTCCCCTCTGAAAGGAAACACTGGAGCAGAGGATCTGCAGATGACCCTGTGACTGGCCGCCTGCCTCAGCTACCCTTCCTCCTCAAGGCCTGCGCTCACCCACTGTCGGAGCTATATCCCTGAGTCATCTCTCGAACCGCTGCAGAGTTTTTCCAGAACAGCAGCTCCACAAAGGCTTTCTGATTGACTGCCGCCAATGCGAAGAACTTGCCAAGGATGTATCTGGCAAACGTCACTAGCTCCTGTACACAACAAAAGCAACCATGGCACTTCAGCACCACTGAGCCCACAGGCCTGGGCCCTACGATCCTCTCCCGGCTCCCAGCTTGCCTCCACACCACTCATTGCCTGTCTTCCACCTTCCAGGCGGTCCCTCAGCCTGACTTCACTATGTCCTCATCTCTCTGACCATAACTAGAGAATCACCCACAACCCACTGTGCCCCAGTCCTTGGCGGCCCCTCACTTTGTAGGCTCCAGCAGCCGGGTCACTGAGCAGACGATCGAACAGGTAGAACAGGGAGAGTTGGAAGAGCAGACCCTCCATGCCCAGGTCGTGGGCCAGCCGGTGCAGCATCTTGGCCACGCAGTGATTGGTGTGCGCGCTATTCTGCCGGTAGCTCCGCAGAAGAAGCGTGTAGGCTCGCACGATGGTTGGGCATGCAAACCTGCACCAGAACACAGAGGGAAGCTACTCAGCATCTGATAGCCAGTGCTTGTCCTCACAGGAGCCCAGCTGGTCCCCTCAGCCGCACCGTTTCAGGTAGTCCAAAAAGTTAAACTCCTTCTCTGACACCTGAACCACTTGTAACTCTTCTTCCTCCTCTTCTTCCTCTTCCTGCTCTGCATCTCCTTCTACCGGCTCCTGCTGCCCTGTACAAAGAGCAAAAACTGGGTTTTCACTATGCTGATGTAGCGTACAGCTGGGAAGAGAGATGTGGAAAAAGGAAGACTCACGGGGAAGGGGTGTGGAAAAGATCTGTTTCAGCAACTCCATTTCTTCCCCTGGGGAAATATCCGGAGAACCAAATACATTCCCTTCAGGCCACACTTCCCTGGGGAGGGACAGAAAAGGCTTTAATCACAGGAAACTGGAGTTGTAATTAGGACTGGGAAGAAACATTAGTTCCTCTGTCAACTGAAAAGAGAAAATAAACCTCTACCTCAGAGATGAAACAGGCTAGGAATTTTTTTCTCAAGAGCATACTGCTCTTGCAGAAGATCTGGGCTCAATTCCCGGCACCCACATAGCAGTTCACACCTGCCTAGAAACCCAGTTACAAAGAATCTGGAATCTTCTGGCCTCCACAGGAAGGCATGTGGCTCAAGTACATATATTCAGACAAAATGTTCATACATATAAAATACATCAAATATACATATAGAGAGAAGCAAAAATAATACTCGGGTGAGGAATGCAACTTCATGTCTGTAGGTATACATACATATACCTGTCTACACAGAATAGACACTGAAAGGTCATACATCAACAAATTCACCATGGTTAACCTTGGCTGGTAGAACTGTATTTCTTCTTTCTATAGTTAACTGTGCTTTCTGAAAATTCTCAACAAAATCCTCCAACTAGCGACCATAACTTATGTAGAGTTACCGTTGAGAACAGAGACCCACAGCCTCTGCTGAGAGCTTTCTGAACACTGAGAACCCTGGACCCCAGCGAAGGCCTCTCCAATCCCTCACAGCCCAGGAGGGTGAACACGCAGGACTCTTACCGGGCAGACCGCAGGAGGGCCAGGGCTTGGAGGGCCTGGCCAGCCAGAAGGCAGTCTTGGATCCTTAGCATGGCTTCTACCCGCTGCTCTTCCACTGGCACCTCCGAGGCCGCATCAAAGGGGATGATGGAATCTACGCTCAGCTCAGGATCCTACAGATGAACGTGCCATGGGAATGGAGCAGGAGGAAACCCAGACTGTACAGAGGCACTGCTCTCAAGAAGGACGGGAATTCTACAAGCACCTACCTGGGCGCACCGCAGCAGCTGCTCTGCTAGGGCTGGCCACGCGGCCTCCAGCTCCCCAGGGCTATGACACACATCCCCAGAAGCAACACCCTGCTTCTGAGCCCTCTTCTTCCTCTTTTTTCTTTTGTTCTAGAGAGAAAGCACTGTACAGTAGAGGCAGCAGAGGCACAGTGTCTGTCCAGCGGCATTAGTGGGGTGGAGTGTGGACAGAGGACACGGGCAACAGTGGGCACTGTATTTCCTTGCCCTCTAGGAGAAACAGGAAGTCAAGAGAAAATGCCATTCCCATGGGAAGAGCTATGGTGAGGAAGAGCATAAAATGTCTATTTCTTGAAGTAAGAGATCGCCTTCGACATGTTTGATTATAAAGTCTTTGAGTAATGCACAATCCTCAGGATTCCCCATCTGTCCATCCTATGTGACTTTTTTGAGGTGACAGAGTCTCACCACATAGCCTTTATCCTAGAACTCACTTTGTAGACCGGGCTGGCTCAAATTCACAGAGATCCGCCTGCCTCTGCCTCTCAAGTGCTGGGATTAAAGGCATGCACCACTATGCCGGCAAGCAGCAAGTGCTCTTAACCACTGAGGTGCGTCTCCAGCTCAATGATGACATAATTGTAAACTACAGCAACTTCAATTACAGAAAGGTCCTGATATAAGAAAAAACCTTTTAGTTGTTTTTTATTGTGTGTTTTTGTGTGTCTACAGTGTGTGAGGCTGTATGTATGAATACATGGCCGAGGTTGGTGGTTGGTGTATCTTGAGACAGATTAAACATGAACCTAACGGGCAACTCCACACTGGCAATGCCACAAGCCTCTGTCCTTCACCCTCCCCTACAGCTCTTCCCACACCCCGGGGCTGCCCTGTACCTGCACCATCAGGTTCCCCCGGCTCCGACAAAACCGCTCTAACATTTTGAGGAAGAGGTGTGCGGTCTCCACCAGGTCACGAAGGAATGAACGTGGATGGTATCTCTCATCGAACTTTCGAAACAGTGCCAGAAACAGTTCTCGGTACTCCATCATATAGAAAATGTTGTCTAGGAGTGGGAACAAGGAAAGAAAGAGCTTGGAAAAGGAGAAGCGAAGTTGGGACTTGGAAGAACGAGATTCTAATCAAGAAATGGGAAAGGCCGGGATCCAGGCCTGGCCCTCACTTTTGATGATGCGGCTGCTCTCCCGCACGACCTCATCTGGGCTCATGTCCATCTCATTCACTGTGGCCAGCAGCTCCTGGTAGGCCTTCAGGGCCAGGTGCATCCTGCCAAGGTGGAGGTTAAGGTTCTGGCAAATGTAAATGCCAACACTCTCCCCAACAGTACCTCCAAAATGACAAGAACATCGCCAGTCCCAGTACCCCAGCCCAACCACTTCACTCGAATAGGAAAAAAAAAAATTATTACTCAAGATCCTGGTGTTGAGACTTGGCTAAGGCACCTACTGTGATCGCCACCAGCCTTCCCACTTACCGGCGGGCCCAGGAGGCGGCCTCCTTGCGGTCCGTCAGCATCATCTCATAGTAGTTGGTGAGGTTCTGCTCCACAAAGTGGAAGGTACGAACACTGAGGGTCTCGGAAACAAAGCCAGGGCGAAAGGAGACAGCTCGATTGAAGGCCATAAAGAAGGCCATAGCCCACATGTAGTAGGTTTCATCGTGCTGCTGAGCTCTCTCCCGAAGCAAGTGATCCTAAAAACAATTACGTCAGGACCTCAGGACTTCCAACTCCCTTCCAGACATGAGGGGTTGGACCCTGCACACTAATATATTTAGTGTTTCCTGGAATCCCCAATTTCCAGTTTCCTCTAGTTCTCCTCAGATCTGTTCATATTTCCTGTTTTCTCTGGGGTTATTGCTCCAGAGCCCTTATTTTTCTTCTTTCTAAAGAAGTTTCACTTTACTTTTAATTAACAGTGTGTATCTGTACATGGATCTGTACACATGACTGTCATGTCCCTAGAGACCAGAAGAGGAATCTCGGATCTGAAAGCACTGGCAGCTTTGAACCTGGGGTGCTGGAATCAAGCTCTCTCCAAGAGCAGGAAGTGTTTTTAACTACTGGGCTTCCTCTCCAGCCCCACCCAGAACCTTTTTCAGTCATGTTAATAACCCAGTCCTTAGAATCTTCATTCTGTCAGGGCCCCACTCCCTGTGTGGTCCTAACTCAGCTCCCTCTGGGCTTGCTGGCAGGCTATCCTGCTTACCAACCCCTGGGCACAGCACTGCTCTGGGCCAGTGTCTGTCCATTCCACCCCTGATTGGCCAGATATTTCCCCAGGCTCTCACCTTAACCGCACCCATGAGAGGGTTGTAACAGTTTTCCAGGAACTCGGAGCAGAAGTCTCTGAGGAAAAGCCTCACGTTGAGGGCAGAGCGGCGATGAGCAGACAGCTCCTGGGCAGCCTGGCGACGCTTCGGCACCCTCCTAGGCTGCTTTCCCAAATCTGAACTGTAGTTTCGGAGCTGAAGGTATGGGTTGAGGCATTAGAAGTCTGAACTACCCCACCCCTTATAGTTCCTTCTACACTGTCCTGAAATTTTCTTAGAAAAAAATGCCTAGAAAGGCATCAGTGGACACAATACAATCAATAGTTCTGTTGTCATCAACTTTCCAAGCCTAAAAACAGAGCAGCTTTAATTCCATAGATGGTCAGCTACCTGTGACTCCAAAGTCTCCGCCTCGTATGAATGCATACTCACATTGTGAAGGCCTTTGTGAAAGACAACATCTCGCTCCCCAATAGATTTCAGCCCCTGGACAATGTAGGAGCCCCCAAATCGAGAGTGCCTTCAAGGGAAAAAAAATTAAGGTTCTAAAATGACTCCTCAGTTCTCTCTAAGTGTTAGGCAATTCTCTTTCATCAGCAGCTCTGTGAGATAGTTTTAAAATATTACCGAGCCTCAGATTGGTCTGAGTGCTAGGTGTTGCGGCTGCAAGTCAGAGCACACAGGAGCAGCCTGCCACCTACCTGTTGCCTCGCTGCAGGGCTCGAGTCCTCTTCTCCACCATCTCCCGTTGGCGCAGCACTTCCAATTCGGCCACATCTGTGCTTCGCTCCTGAGCCAAGCGCCCCTGCCCTACTCCTGCTAGCTGCTCAGGGTTCTGGATTTGGAACAAAGAGGGAAGAATCAGAGTGAGAACAGGCATTTCTGAGCCTCCATTCACTCCTACTAGGAATGGAAGACACAAGCATTCACAACTGTTGATGGCCTCTGATGGAAGACACAGCTAGGGTACCCATCGCCTGCCCTCCTCAGGTAATCCCTGCTGCTAACAGCACTAGTCTGGCCACAGGGCAGAAGCACATTGGGAGGGATCCAATAGGGTAGAACAGTGTCTAACCTGGTCTCGGAACATGAGAGAAACAATCTCTAGCACATGAAGGCTCCACTGCTGCTCCGCAGATGAGCTGGACAGGAAGAGGAGCAAGTCGTCCATGCCACTGAGGTGGATTGCCCACAGAAGCCGATCGTGGACACTGGCATCGTCATCGATCCGCTGAGCAGTCGGTGGAGGGGACAGAAGGTCATACTGAGCTCCATGGCTTCCCCAGTGCCCAGCTCACCCCTTGCCTAAGGCTCCTCCCCGACTTGTCAGAAGACAGGAAAGCCTGGAAGAGGGGAGTTCATGATAACCAGCACAGCTCAGATGGCCCAGGACCCTCTTCACCTTCTCCTGCTCAGCGTCGGTGGGGACATGGAGAATATTCCTGACCAGCAGCAGGATCCGTTCAATCAGCAAGTTGTCTTCTTCCTGTCGATCCTCCCAGCCCTGGGCAATGGGAGAAAAACCTAGCTGCAAGACTGAGTCCTGAGAATCAGGACTGAAAAGAAAGAAAAGGCAGCTGGAGGGAAAGATGGCTCAGTGGTTAAGAACTGAGAGGACTGAAGTTCAGATCCCCGCACACAGCAAGCCAGGTGTCTAGAAAAACACCTGTAATTTTTTTATGGTTTCTATGTGCATGTATACACTTAGATAATTTTTTTAAAGATTTATTTACTTATTATGTATACAGTATTCTGTCTGCATGTATCCCTGCATTGCCAGAAGAGGGCACCAGATCTCATTATAGATGGTTGTGAGCCACCATGTGGTTGCTGGGAATTGAACTCAGGACCTTTGGAAGAGCAGCGAGCCATCTCTCCAGTCTGATAAACTTCTGAAAATAAAAAATAAAAGCCAGGTATGCTGGCAGAGGTCTTTAATCCCAGCACTGAGAAGGCAGAGGCAGGGGGACTGCAAGTTCTAAGACTACCTAAATCACAGAGTTCAACCTTACACTGGCAACGTAGTGACACCTTGCCCCAAAAAAACAAAAAACAAGAGTGCTAGGGATACATTTTAATGCCAGAGTACTTGGTTAGCATGCATGCATCAGCACCCAGACTCAATCCCCAGTACTACGGGACGGGGGCACAGACACAGGATGGGACACAACACGACCCAGACTTGGTCAGTGCACTCAGGAGGATGAGGCAGGAAGGGCATGAGTTCAAGACCATCTTTAGCTACATAGTGAACTTAAGTGTGAAGTTAGCCTGGGCTACCTGAGACTCAATCACAAAAAGGGGAGTGTGGAAGAATAGCTCAGCAGTTAAAAACACTTATTGCTCTTACTGAGGACCTGTATTCAATTCCCAACACCTACATGGTAGTTCACATCCATCCATAATTATAGGTCCAGGGGCTCCAACACCCTCTTCAGATCTGAGGGCACCTGGCACACATACATGTAAGCAAAACACTGGTACATGTAAAAAAAAAAAAGTTTTCTCATGCTTTTTTTCATTTCTCTGTGTTGCTTTGACTATCCTGAACTCACTTTGTAGACCAGGCTGGCCTCGTACTCACAGAGATCCGCCTGCCTCTGCCTCCCTGAGTGCTGGGATTACAGGTGTGCACCACACCTAAGCTAATAAAATAATTTTTAAAAAGAAAGAGAAAGAAAGTGAAGAAGCAAAGAAAGGAAGGGAAGGACGGGAAGGGGGTGGGGTCAAGCAGTCCAAGAGAAGTCTCTCTAATGGCCGAGGACCTTCTCAGGCATAGCACCTTGTTCTGCCCAGGGCAGGAAGAACGAACTGCCCTGTGGGATGCACAGGACGGAAACACACTCACCAGCTGCAGCAGCTCATACAAAGTCTCACTGAGTACTCCAAATGCCTTCTCACTGGCAAAGGCCTGTGGAACAGGGAACAGCCCATAGGTAGTGCCCACCTTCTCCCTCCTTCTGTCAACGCTGACCCAACACCCCAGAGAAAAGGCTCCTCACCTCTTTGTAGGCCTGCAGGTAAGTCAGCACCTGCAGAAAATGGTGCCGTACACTGGGGTCCTGAGGCACGCTGCCGAAACAGAGCAAGGCTGGCTGAGTCAAATTTACCATCAGCCTGCAAAGGCGATGAAGGAGGAAGTGGTTAGGTTTCCTTGCCAGCACAGACACCTCACATGGTAAAGGTCAAGAGGCTGAGGGACGAACCTGATGACAGCATCGAAGAGAGGCTTATCCTGGCGGTGCTGCGTGAGGATCGGCAGGAGGTCACTCTGCAGGATCTGAGCAGCTCCCAGCTGCTGCCGCACGTCTCTCGTCTCGTCCTCATGCCTGAGGTAGCGGATCAAATCCTTCACACTCTCTTTAGAGATAGAACAAATCATCCACCTATAACCCCAGAGGCTGCCCAGGCCCACGAGCTCCTCATACCTGCAGCCCGAGAGACCTCAGGTAGGTGAGGTTTTCCTCCTGATTCCTCAACATTACTCACCCAGGCAATCTGGTTCCTTGTGGTAAGTGCCTCCTTCCAAGTACCCAAGGGCACTACACGTGGCTAGAAGTTCACAGTTCATCATATACAAGTCCATACATCAGAGGCCCAACTAGCAGGAGGATAGGCAATGGAGGCAGGCGATGGAAAAGATGAGGCCTGTATCAATAAGGAAAAGGGATGCGGTCAGGAACAAACTGGGGCTTAACACTCAAGAATATTCTGAGCAAGACCCTGAACTGCTTCACTTTTTTTTTTTTTTTTTTTTTTTTTTTTGGCAAGGGAGGTTTGAGACAGGGTTTCTTTGTATAATAGCCCTGGCTGCCCTGGACTCACTTTGTAGTCCAGGCTGGCCTCAAACTCACAGAGATCCACCTGCCTCTGCCTTCAGGCACTGAGATTAAAGGCGTGTGTCACCACGCCCAGCCTAATTTTTTGCTTCACTTTTTTCAGAATTGAAAGTGCTGCTTCCAGGTCCAGGGAAAACAATTTTTAACTAACAAGTTGTTGTGCATAGGACTCAAACCTAGGGAGGGTCCTGTGCATGGGAGCAAATGATCTACCACCTGCTGCATCTTCCACTCCCGGGGGAAAGCTTGTTGTTAAGGCTTCTTTCTTCTGACTACAAACAAAAGAGACTCCAGTTTATGAATTAAGACCTGACCCATATCACAGCCAGAACCTGAAACCAGAGAAACATGGTTCAGAGTTAAGACAACCAGCAAGAAAAGGGGGGAACAGCTCTGAGATGTTCACTTCAGAGAGCTCCACAGCCTCGGGAGGAGTCAAATCAAATCTTCCACAGCTCTTCCTCATACAGACCTACTCTGGGTGAACCACGGAGTTAAGAGTCCTAGCTTTGGGCTGGTGAGAAGCATGGTGGGAAGGGTGCTTGCCACTAAGGCTAAGAAACTGAGTACTATCCACAGACCCTACATGGTAGGAGAGAACTGACTCTGGAAAGTTGACCTCTGACCTCCATGTGTTCCCCTCCTTCCAAAAGAAGCAACCCCACTCCCAAGCTCACAGTGATTATATGTAAAATTTGTGTATGGAGGGGCAGGGGGGGCCCCCAAGTATATATGTGTGCTTGTCTGTGCATGCATGTGTGGAGGTCAGAGGTCAATCTCGGGCATCACTCTTCAGGAGCGTCCACCTCATTGTTCTGAGACAGGGTGGCTCACTGGGATTGGGGGCTTGCTGATCAGGTGAGGGTGACTTGCCAGAGAGCCCAGGGATCCTCCTGTCTCTGCGTCCTCAGTGATAGAAGTACAACCACAAACGACCAAGCCTAATTTAGGGGTTTGTTTTGTTTTGTTTTTTGTTTGTTTGTATTTTCTTTTTGTTTTTTTAAATATGGATGTTGAGGCTTGGAACTCGGATCATTATGGTTGTACGACACTTTCATCAACTGAGCTACCTCCCCAGGCCCCTGTGTAGGATTTGATGCCTTCTAGGATCTCCTCAGCTTCTGAGGCACTGATATTTGTAAAGGAAGTTCCTTCTCTGCCCTCCAAAGTCACTCATAAGACCCAGGAATTTCAGTGGAAGTTAGCGCTGACAGAACGGGAGGTAAAGGCAGCAAGCAGGAGACAATCAACCTCCCCTGCCTCTGCCCTAAAAGCAGCCCCTTCCTCTTATAGAGCATATCCGAATTTACCCAGATCCCCAAGCCCTCACCAGATAGCACAAACCCAGAATCCTAGAAGCTAGCATTAATAGCACAGACGCACAAGCACACACACATTGCATTCTTTACCTGCTCCCGTGGAAGATCAGGCACACTCATGGATCTTGTCCCCTGGGCATCTGCAGCTGCACCTTGCTCTTTTGGAAGCACCCTCTACAAAGACCTTCCCTAGCTATGAGACTCCACCCCTGCAGATAACAGATAACGAAGCTCGAAAGGCCTGAGACCCGACAGTCGATGCTGTCTCCCACACCCAGGCCATGCTTACATGCTTACATAACTGCTCTACTTCTCCCATGCCTACTATCTCCCCACCCCTACCCCAGTGCTAACCTACTTCTGAGCTGCAATGCCCAGGGAAACAAGGGGTGAGTAAAGCACTCACTAAATGACCAGAACTAAAAAGGCCTTTTCTCTGGGATCTGGTCTCTGCTGAAGTGGCTTCTGAACACTCTTCCAAGGAGACCACTGGTGGGTGGGTGTGTGCATGCTTGTGTGTACTAGCGCACACACACACAGAGGCATTAACAGACCAAAGGCCTTTCTTCTCTGTCCTTCCCAAGGGTGGCCTAAGAAGCTGGCCAGGAAAAGACTGAGGAATACTTGCTCGGTGTACTCGCCATCATAAAAAAAGAAACTTATTTATGGTTGGTTTGGGGGGGGGGTTGTTTTTGTTTTTGTGGGGTTTTTGGTTTTGTTTTGGTTTTTTGTTTTTTGTTTTTTTTGTTTTTTTTTGCTTTTGTTTTGTTTTGTTTTCCGTTTTGGAGCATAGTCACTCTGTATTCCTGGCTGTCCTGAAACTTACTATGTAGACCAACCTGTCCTCAAACTCAGAGATCTACCTGCTGGGCTTAAAGGAGTGTTCCACCCCGCCTGTCCTGGAGCTGTGTTTGCATTAAGGGCTGAAATTCCTACTGAAGGCTCCTTTCCCCCAGTTCCAGAGAGGGCTGTCAGGCTGTGGAACTCCTGACCCACAGTCTCTGTCCCACTTCTCCCTTTACGCTGCCTCTGACATCATTCAAAACAACTGCAAGGGATTAGGAGTGAAAGTCCTGGCTCTCTTACATAACCTCCTGCCTTCCCGTAGCTGCTGGAATGGCTTCTTCTCTTTCTCCTCTACCAAATGTTTTGACAGCCAACAAGAGGAGGCTAACTAAATGGCTCAGCAGGTAAAAAGCACTTTCCACTCCATCTAAGAGACCAGAGTTCAGATCCCCACCACACAGGGAAAAGGCAAGAGCGGTAGTGGCCGATGGTAACAGCTAGCTATGCCTGGACCAAGCAGTGCAGCAGCATAGACAAACACCCTGCCTCACGCTGAAAGGAGAGAACTGGCTCCTCAGAGGTGTCATAAATTTAAGAAAAAGGGGTGGATGGCCGGCACATAAAAAAAACAAGAGTTTACCCTCCCCTTTTTTAAATTCTTCTTTGCTTTGGAATTTGGAGGTGAGAGTATTTATTTCTCTCTTCCTTCAGTTAACTAAAACCTGCATACTCAGTCTGTCTGGCCTCTCCTAGAGAAGATAGCTATACAGCCACCAATCCACATGGCTCAGGATCTCACCAACAACACAAACATCCCAACACACAAAGCTCCTCTCATAGCCTACTCCCTCCATCCTAGAGGCCTCCTCTTCTTCCTCTGTTATTTCCCACAGTTCCAAGCCTGCGTAACCTTCAAGATGCAGCCATTCCTCCCTAAGCCTCTCCCCAACCACCTGCAGGACAGGGACAGAAAGCCTGAACCTACACACAGAATTCTTACTGGGACACCTGTGCACAGTCTCACCTCAGAGTACCAGGACAGTTTCTCTTCCTCCACTGCAATGTCGTTTTTTAATGTGCTAAGTCCAGTAGCTTTCACACAGGGATACACAGTTAAAAGACTGTAGAATGCAACTGTCTGTGAGTTTGCCACACTCTGGCTTCACACACGATGCAGACCAGCCCACCCTTTATCAAATCCATCTCAGCTTATGCCTCTGGAAACGATAGGGTGCTGTGGCAGCCATGTGGCTGCCCAGATTTCTCTTCAAGAAAGTTTGTGCTGGGGCCGGAGAAGTGGCTTCGCACTCTTCCAGAGAACCTAGGTTCAGTTCCCAGCATCCACATGGTAGTTCACAGGAGACCAAGAGTCTCCACAGGCAGCTGCACAAATCCATACACACACATGTAATCAAAAATAAATTTGGGTTTTGTTTTTTTTTTTCCAAGACATGATTTCTCTGTGTAGCCTTGGCTGTCCTAGACTCCCTTTGTAGCCCAGGCTGACCTCAAACTCAGTGATCCACCTGCGTCTGCCTCCCTGAGTACTGGGATTACAGGTGTGTGCCACTGTACCTTGCTGTATTATCAGACGTTCAATACACTTTGTTTAGTGTCACTGACAGTGAACAAATGTACAATACTTCAGGAACACAAAGAGAGGAGTAACCAGTACTAAGGAGGCAGAGCCTGGTGGATCTCTGTGAGTCTGAGGCTAGCCTGATCTACATAGAGAATTCCAGGCCAGCCAGGGCTAATACTGACACCATTTTATTTATTTTTCATCTCTGTGATGTGTTCCTGTTCAAAAGTGAATTTGCAGGAGTCAGTTTTGTCCTTCCACCACGTGAACCTCTAGGATTTCACTCAGATCCTCAGGCTCAAAACAAGCAGCCCAACCCACTGAGGCATCTCTGTGAGGTGCCCACTTGGAGGGATGGGTAAATTGAATCACTGGATTTCAGGCCAACTGCACTTAAGTGACAAGAACTCCCCACCAGAGGGAGTTCAAGTGCCTTGGAGTACGAAATAACACGAAACAAACACATCCTTTGCCTCAGGCTGGGAGTCCAATTGAATGAGAAAAACCTCGGCTGAGTAAGCGGAACCATTAATGACCAAAACGGAGTTTCAAAGTAAATGTAAAACGACGGGCTTCGTTTTTTTCTTTCCAAAAGAAGATTCTAGTGACAGCATCAAAGACAAAGAGAGCCGTTTAACTAATGGCTCTCGATGTAGCTGTCATCCCCAACGGAGGTTTTACCAAATCTAGGGGCATGAGGGTTAGACCCAGTCTACGAAAACCCCGAAAGCCCGTGAATTCCAACTCCTGACAACCACCTGGCCGATGTGTCTTCAGATCTGGCCTGGATGGCCATCCCGGGGAGCCTTCCGCTCTGCTTTCGGGGCTCCCGGGATCCTGGCCTCGCAGTCCCTTCCCGGAAGGGGGCGCGGGGAGGCGCGGGGAAGCGGCGCCGCTGGTCCCAGGCTCGCTCGAGGGGGCGGGTCAGAACGCGCGTGCGCGCCAGGAGCCCCGCCCCCTCGCTTAAGCGGCGCGCGGCCCCGGCCGCACACCGATCCCCTGCACGGTTCCCCGCTGCACGCTGTGCTCGCAGCCTCGCGGCGCAGCCGGCCCGGGGTCCTCGCCACACACTCACCCGCTCCCCGCGAGTCCTCCGGAGCCCCGCACATCCAGCAGCCCTGAACCGCCCAGCCGCGGTCTTTCCCGCCACTCGGCTGGGAGCGGCCCGTCCGCGCCTGCGCGAGCGGGGCGGGGGGAGGGGCGGAGCGAGCCGGGCGGATCCATTTGACTCCGGGCGAGGGAAGAGGGATGGTTGGTGATGACATAGGAAGGGAAATCGATAAGGATTGTTTTGCGTGAGTCGGGCATCTGCACTAAAGTAAAAACCAAACGCTCTGGGTTTTCTACTGAATTATAATAAGAATCAAGGTCGAATTAAAGTAGAGTTTACAGACATTCTTCCCATTCCAGTCAGGTGGACTATTCCAAAGTCTTATATGGCTACTTAGAAAAGTTGTGTTTTATTTGGGAGGAAGCAGAGAGGTTGCTGTGTGGGATGGATTTACGATTGTCTTACTATAGGCATACGTCTTAAAGCTTGAGAATTATATACAGGAGGCTCAGAATAGAGAGACTTGCAATAAATATTCATTGTTCGTTCATGGTCACCTGCGCCCCTGCTGAGACGATGCTATTTTACCAACAATACAAGACAGTGCTCAAAAAATCCTATCCAGATTTAAGCATTTGGATAGAGGAGATCGGTATCTGGGGCATGAGGAAGAGTAAGCAAAAATTTGCTGTGAGAAAAGTGAAAAGACATACAAAAAGTATGTCTAGTGAAAAGTACAGAGATGCCATTTGCAAAGTTCAATTTTATCTAAATAAATCCCCCGTCTTGCCCCTCAACTCCTGTAAATTTACTTCAGACACCAGATTTTCTGTTTTAACCTCAAAGAGCAATTCTGAGGCTTCAGTACCATTTGCCAAGGGCTATCAGGCAGGCCTTAATTTATCTAGACTGTAGGCTTGTCCAACCCCTGTTTCACTTGGAAGGCTCAGGTCCAAGGCTTCTGAATGAACACGCAGCCCCGACAGTGGATGTAGGCCAGCTTCTGTGGTGTGGCTTTACAGAACAACTAAAAACCCAATGTTGACTTTTCTCAGGGCTCCTTCTAGGCTAATCTCTGGGATAAGCAAGCTATGTCGTCTCCCATTTACTCCCTCAAAACTTTTAGGTACACTTGCCTAGTGATCTGGAAATAAAATCTTCAATTCCTCTCCCACCCAGCCTACCAAACCCTGGAATGCCTTGCCTCCTCCGGCTTCCTGAGAGGAGCGACTCATCTCTCCCCTGATCCCTCGGGAATCAAGGTCCATAAACGCCACTGGAAGCAGGGTAAAGATCAGAAACTTAAGGTCTTGGGTTCCCTGTGCTCACCAAACTGGGCCGGGGGAAGGACATACATGTTGACACTCTTTTCCCTTCCCTAGCTTTTGTGTTCCCAAACTCAGACGCAGCCACAAGCACCCACATTCATATGAACAGTCATGCACACGGCGAAGGTAGCTGGGGCGGGGAGGAAGGGAAGTTTGCACCAACCAGTCGTGAATGCAACTTGAAAGATTTCACACAGCAAAAGGAAAAATGAAAAACATGAGTTAAAAAATAAAGAAGTACATGCCCCTCCCCACAGTCTCTTCATCCGAGGGCTGGCTTGGCCCCTCTCGGAACCCAGAAGCTTCCTCCTCCTCTCTCCAACTGGAACTTTCACAGGGCCTGAGTCTTCAGTTCCACAGGTTCCCCTGTGCCCTCTGGCTGTCCATTGGAGTCACTGGGTCTGGCTCCCTTAAGGATAGACAGTCTCTCAGAAACACTCTTGAGCCGGGGGAAGAGGAGAAAGTCATAGAGAAGGCTGCCCAGGCCCCCTCCGATGATTGGGCCCACCCAGTACACCTGTGGGAAGAGAGAAGGCACGATCAGGCTTTGGGACTCTCAGGGAAAAACAAGACATCCTGCTCTTGTCACACAGGACTGGGCACTGTCTTAGCAGAA